AAATGACGGCATAGTGATGTAATAATATACCATAACACAGTTCTACCACACAGTCAAAGGTGTCAGCAGGAAAATATAAACATTTACACCAGAGAGACTATTTAAAGCACCAGACAGCATTTAGGTAATGAGACATTTGTCAGGCTAACCAGTTCATTTGGATGGGGTCCTTAGTGTCTGATCACCTCCAGACAAATAATGCACAATCAATCACTAAATTAACACAGAAGAGTGAAATGCAAGATTTTTCTATTTCTGTGTATGGTTTCAGATGTATCTTCACTTGGACGTTTTAAAATATGCATTTATACTTTCCTTAACATCTCTACCTTTGTAGGATGATCAGTACTTACCTCTACTCTGGGAACAGATGGCACATTTATTTCTGACATAAAAAGTGATTGATAGCTCTTAGATTAGACCGACTGGATGTTTTTATTGCAGGTTAAACTTTAATAGCACATCTTTGTCTTGCTCTGTACAGGTGACATTGGCGGCAAGAAGAAGAGCATTTAGGGACAGCTGACTAACAGAAGCTGGCTGGTTTCCCATCATTTGAATTTTGGCCTTTTGTCCTTGTTGTCCAGGGATTCAAAGCCAATCAAACCCCCTGTTATGCAGGTGGCTCTGCTGGGTCATTTGTCTTGACAACAGATTTTATGAGGCAGTCGTTTAGGCGTAGACTTTTGGTCTTAAAACCAGAAGTGCGTTTAATGGAGACCAAAACAAGACCTCTGCTTCTGACCTTACCAGTTGGATAGGACTTATTGTTTCATAATCTCTCATCATGGAACGGCGAGAAGCAACACAATAATGTCCTCGCGTCTTACTAAATCCACAAGATGTCCTCAATTCACATCCAGAGGTCTCCGATTCAAGTATGAGATTAAGATCTCATACTTGGTTGGTCACAATGCCTTTGTTTACAGCATTATCCCACTCAATGTCTCTATGATGGTGCCTGCTTCATAGGTGCTGATTTAATTGCTTGACCAGATCTGTGTTTCACAGAAAGTATTTGCAATTTTCTGATCAGGATTCATCCAGTTTTTCAAGCATCTCAAATCAATAAATGTTCTGATCACCCACACCGGCTCAAGAGAATTATCTGGAAAATAAAAACAATGCAGGTCAAAGGGAATTTATTCAATTATTCATTATCATGCTGCAAATGCCTTTAAATAATCAAGTTTTAAATAAAAAACATGTATGAGTTTCAAACGTTTAGTTTTCACAGCATCAGAGTGGAAGCATTTGTCTTTGTGTAGTTGTTTCTTTCAACTTTAAAGTGAATTTGGAGGAACTCTGTTGGAACTAGATGACATCCAGGCTCACTTCTCTCAGCTGTCGTCATGAGAATAAAGAGAGATGATATGGCTGATGAATTCTGCCATTGCTGTTAGACTCAATGTAAGAAGCACCTTGACTGTGGATCTTAAGTTTTCCCTCGAGTTTGTAACTAAAGTGACCCCCCCCTATCTCTGTAAATGTTTAATTATGTGACATTTGGCTGTTGAGAGCCAATCTTCTGCACCATTGTAGGGCATAAACAAAGTGCTAATTAAAAGAAGGGCCAATAAATAACAGAAATAAATGTCCTTTCCTGGTACGATAATGAAGGATGCTGTAGTTTTGTTGCTCTTGGAATGGATTCATTTTATTAAAAGCCAAGTTCACTGACAGACCATTTTTTACTTGTTCTTTTGGAAATATGATCAGTCACTCAGAGTTTGACATGCAGGCTCAATTTGAAAATAGTCTTCTACCCCAATTCGCTGTATTAGCCGCCAATAGAAAATAAATGGGGAAACGCTCGGATTAGAAAAGCCTGTGACGTAACGCGTCACACTGTCGCTTAACATTCATGGACTCACCCATCTTGACTCATGACAGGGAAGACTGTTGTTGGTTTAGTGTCCAGGAAACAGCAGAGAACGTCTCAGCTATTAGAAGCGAGCTGTTAGCATTAGCAACTCCACCACACAGCAGAACTCCTCCAGACTTGTGTTATTTGTGAAGATAAAACAACAAAGTTTCAGAGCAAACAGAGTCAGTGGTAGAGTCATGTTGCTGGTAACCAATCAGAGGAGAGATGGAAATAAGATTCCAAAGCCGACCGTCTTCACCTCATCTCTGCTGTGGCTAATTTCTACTTCCTGAGACAGATGCACAAGAGATTTTTTTTCACAAGATCAACTCACTAGGCATTAAGTGATACTAGAGACCCCTGCAGATGTGTTGAAGAACTTAGTGAACTTGGTCTTAATGATAGTTTCAGTCCAGAATTTAAAGTAAAAAATGTGCTCGACAAAACTCAACATCAAAGGTTCTATAACTAGCAATTTTACACCTTTCTGACCAATGACCGGTGCACATAGCAGTTGCCAAGTGGTATGGTGTGTCTGCCCTAAGACTGGGAGACGTGGGTTCAAATGCACAGTTGGGTCATATCAAAGACATTGAAATAACAATATATCATGGTCAAAAGCTCAAAAATGTAATTTTGCATTATGTAAGTTATCAGCCATTTTCAGAGAAACAACTTCTGTGCCTGTTTTGTTATTATTTCACGTCCTATTTTGAGGATCGGCTCAAGAACTGATTTTCTTATTTTTGCTGTAATGCACTGTAATCCTCTTTCAAACCTAACAATTCCATAAAGGTTCTATTTCTGCCGCAGCCTTCCATAAAATGTTTTCCTGACAGACTTCTGCCTTGTGTACAGAATGTGATCTTCACTAAACAGCAAACAGCAGAGAGCAGCTTAGCAAGGCATAGTGTTGTAATACGTTCTCCTGATGGTGGACCAATGAATGTGAGCTCTACTGAAAGAGAGAAAGGGTTTTAGTTATCCCCATTACCGTTGTGTTCAAGCATTCTCCTACACACAGGATTAAGAACTAACTCTTTGTAGGGTCATCGCAATGCCCATATTGAGAATATGATAGATCAACAATTATTTTGAACTTACAAATATCTTCTGTTGTGAGGCTGTTGTGGTTTACTGTTGTAGTAGCAGCATTTTGAGTGGGGCGGGGCATTGTGTAGGCAGGTCTTTTTCTTTAGGACACTAAAGCAAAACTGACCTCTCTTGGCCCACATCAAGACTGAAACCCCTTCATACCCCAATTATTGTGCTAGCATGGTATGATCTTCTAGCTAGTAGCTGCATATTGGTATAGTACAAGAGTGTGATCCCATAATGGAGATCATGAATATGAGTGATAGGAACATGCAGCAGATGGTAAAACCCTTGTGACGGTGCAGGAAATGATTCTGGGAACATAGAAGGCAAAAGTGAAAGACCTATTTGGTGAGTAATCAAAGTAGAGAAGCATCATGATTGCCTTCAAACTAAAGAGGTTTTTCTAAGTTTAACCCTCTGGAGGCAGGCGTTGCAGATTTGCAATGTTAAAACCTACCTACCTGGTTACTCCACATACGTATTTCATGAGCATTTTTTAACTCAGAAGTACCCCTGAAGGACTTAGGTGGACTTTCACCGAAACTTATTTTAAAGTTAAAGTCCCATCAGTTGTCACACACACTGCAGGATTTGTTCTCCGCATTTGACCCATCCCCTGGGGGAGCGGTGAGCTGCAGACACAGCCGCGGTCGGGAACCATTTGGTGGTTTAACCCTCCAATCCAACCCTTAATACTGAGCGTCAAGCAGGGAGGCATTGGGCCCCATTTTTTCAAAGTCTTTGGTATGATCCAACCAGGAATCAAACCCTGATCTCCCAGTCTCAGGGCAGGCACTCTACCACTAGGCTAATGTACTTATTTTGAGCCTGAGTGGTATTTTACACCTTGCAGAGCAAAGATAGGCACAGTATATTTACCGTTGGTACTGTTGATGTGTCATTTTTTGTGAGATCTAACCATTTCTGCAGATTAAACTCTTCTTCAGGAAGACTGGACAGGGATCCTGTATCTCTTGCAGTCAAAAAATAAATTTTTGGTGCAAGGCATTACTTGACTAGATAGGACAGAATCTCTTCTTTACAACTGTGGAGTTTAAGCTCCCCACTAGCTACATGGAGAGACTGGGTGTTAGTATTTACAGTCCAAGGAAGATGGGACCCACATTCAAGACTACCTGGATGGGGAGGTGCGGTAGCCTAGTGAACGAGACAAAATTCTTGCTTTGCAAACTTTGGTCTAGGAACGCTCAGTTGGAGCCTCCACAGCCCCTATCAGCATTCTGGCTGGCCAATCACAGCTCTCTATAGGGGTGTCAAACCGGCAGAGTGCTGGGATTGGTTCACAATCTGCTTTGTGGGCCAATCAGGACTCTCTCTTTGTCTGGTGGGTGGGATGAGGCAACAGAGTGCAATGATTATGCAGTGCAATAGACTGGCCATTCCCTAGTTTATTCAGTCAGTTATGGCTTTCCACTGGTTGCACTTGTATCAAAAATCTGTACATTTACATGTAATTATCATGTTTGTTCAGTTTTCAACAAAATCCTGTGAAACTACCATTACCGCTGTAAAAAAAAAATCACATACTCAGAGAAAAGATTCTGCTTCTCACTTTATTTTTCTTATTTCTTGATGCCTCAGACCAAGAGAGCAGAACAGAGCTTGCAAAACTACATTCTTTTATCACCGCACTGCTCTAAGCAAGGTCATCTTCAATATCTGTGGGTCTTTCAAATTACACAAAAGTGTTCTTCTTACAGGTGTTACGCAACAGTATTTTTCAGTGAATGCCACCAGACGAGCACAGGTGGGTGACTTTGAATGACTAGAGATAAGATCTCTGCTCAGGCGTGGATGGTTTGCAGTTGAATACCACCAGACTGACCATGGGCTTATAGAAAGAGTCAGAAAGAGAGGAGAGTGACAAAAATGGACACTGGATAGAACAGGTTTCAGCTCCAAACATATCTTATGACAGAAATTTGCCTACTAGAGGTTATTTCCTTACACAAAACCCAAAGGTTGTCTTGTTAAAGATGGTAATGGCCACAGTTTGTCTTATTGTGTCTTTCAGGAATGTCCCAGTGGAGTCGTCAATGAAGAAACCTTTAAAGACATCTACGCACAGTTCTTCCCACAAGGAGGTATGTAGTTATTCCTACTTTTCCAATTTGTGTCCCCCTTCCTTAGAACCTTAGACTTGCCTGTAACTAATAAACCACCCAGAATGTGAATAGTCTCTGCAGGATCTCTGCAAGGTCTTCTGGTGTTTATTTAGTATATTACAAATGACAGGTCTGTGATGGGCTTGAGAATGCACAAAATTTTAGTAGCAAGTTTTTGGTATTGTTTTTCATGATGAGTGTGGGGACAACATAACCCTGACAGGGTTGATTTGGGAACAGTGTTCACCAGTGGGACATGTTCTGGCTTGGTCCTTAACAATGCAAAGCAAGAATGGTCATCCTGGCCTCATGCCTGGGCTTTGAGCACATAGCTGCATCCAGATGTGGATCAAGAGGGTTGTGCCAGGAGATGTCTGAATGTGGTTGAGTCATGTGACCATCGTATTAGTAATCACTTCCTACATCCCCGTATACTTCTGTCTTCCTCGTGTATTAATGAGATGCCTATACGATACCACGCCACTTTGTGATGGCATCTTGGATTTAGGGTTAGGGTTGCCATCTTAGTTGTTCCGCTCCATCACATATTCTCGCCCACCAAACCAGTGGAGCACTGTGTTTGGCACAAAACAAAACTGATCAGGCCAGGTGCTGAGGCTCCAATAGAGCGAGGCTAGACCGAAATGCAGAGCAAAATCATTTTGCTTTGGAAACTGTCCGTCTAGATTTCTAGGCTAACCAGATTTGGCTCATGGGCCATAGAAATGTGATACGCCTGTTGAATATCCGAGCACTAGGGCACTCGCTCAATCAGTAATTGACTGTAAACAACCCAAATATTTTTGTCAAAGTACTGACATTGTGCAGTTCAGTACCTGCCTCTTTTATCAAAAATGATGTCACCAAAGATACAACAAACAAAAAAAGGAAAAAATAATGACAACACAGAATGTTGTTTTGGAGAAAAACGGTATGAAATGTGTTGATATCAATTTGGACACAAAAACTGACATTCCTGTGCAAAACAACACTCAAAACATGTTATTTGTGTCTTTTGATCACAGAGATCTGCACCACCTCTAAGCTATGGTGAAAACTGTCAACCTGAGGTTCATGCATCTGTACGCATAACCATGTCCACTCACAGCCTGGCTTGGCACATGCAAAAATTAATGCACAGCAATGTTCCTGCATCCAAAGCATATTACCATCATGGTTGCTTTCACACTTGAGAAGATTTACAAATCTTACTAGCCACATTCTAATTGGTTCTCAGTGTTATTAATTTCCTCTGTGACACCAGACTGATAGAAACAGCACCAAGACAAGGTCACTTCCACTTAACCATGCATCAAAGTAAACAGTGATAATGAAAAGCAGAGGAGGAACATATTTTGTCTTCTTGCAGCCTTGAGCTTCTCGCCATTAGCTTTTATCATTAAGTAACAATCCTTGTGAAGGACAAACAGTAAAAGCATTGAGAGGCTTTGATTTACCCATTCAGAGAGAAAAAAGGCACACAGGAAACCATAATAAACCCCAGCTCTGAGCATATTTCTTTTTCATCAAGGCATTTGTTTCTTTGAAGTTACACAGTGAAGGTAGAAGAAGAAAAAACAACATCTTTGAACTGGTTTCTGGCTTGTAGTAGGTGCTTCAGCAGGTGTTGGACTGAAATGATCACAGACAGTTTTTAACGTCTTCTTTGTACTTACAGATGCCTCAACATACGCGCACTTCCTGTTCAATGCTTTTGACAATGATCACAACGGTTCTGTAAGTTTTGAGGTAAGGCAAGTATGATCCTTGTAATTTATTAGCCACAATGCATCAAATCATTCATGAAATATGGATTTACCCACTGCTAAAGGCCGATGGATGCATAGTACTAAATAATTTGGTGTTTGTTTTTTTTGTAAAATTCCACAAACCGGCCAATGTTTTTGCTTGTTCTAAAGCCTGGATTTGAGGCTGAATGCTCTTAGCATGCTGCTCTGGAGAATCAACCTGATCCAGTCATTTTTATCAAGTTTAACCAAGTTGGTTTGCAACGCTGGCAACATTTTATTAATATTTATAACAGACATACATTTGCTTAGTAGGACAGAGAAGCTGTCAGTTCTCCAATATAAAGCCCCCCCCCCCCCCCCCCCTGGGTTTATGTGTCCATTCTGTTCAAAAACATGTGGATTCCCAGAGGGCCTTCACAGAAAATGAGCTTTCAAATCATTTGAATAATGAGGTATTTTTTATTTAGAGCTCCTGCACTTTTGCTGTTTCATCACTCGCCTTTAAATAGCTGATGTAGTTTGTACACTGGCAGAAATGCAGATGCATGAAGGATGCTTTAGTTGATCTCTACTTTTTTTCTTTGTGTGTGTGTGTGTGTGTGTGTGTGTGTGTGTGTGTGTGTGTGTGTGTGTGTGTGTGTGTATGTGTGTGTGTGTGTGTGTGTGTGTGTGTGTGTGTGTGTGTGTGTGTGTGTGTGTGTGTGTGTGAGTGTGTGTGTGTGTGTGTGTGTGTGTGTGTGTGTGTGTGTGTGTGTGTGTGTGTGTGTGTGTTGTTTACTCTGCTGTAGTGTTTTGGGCTTTTTTCCAGTGTACTGCTTTGCACAAGTGTAAATTAATTGTGTTTGCATTACAGGATTTTGTTATGGGGCTTTCGATCCTCCTGAGAGGCACCGTGCAGGAAAAACTCATCTGGGCTTTCAACCTTTACGATATCAATAAAGATGGATACATCACTAAAGAGGTGCGGTATGCCTTATTATTCACTGCAGTAGTGGAATGCCACAATACTCAAATGTCAAAAGCTTTCATAGCTTGAAAACAAAAAAGTTTTCATTCCACTAAATACAGTATTAAGTCTTTTGCTAATATGACGCAGTAACAACAAAGCTGTTGAACCAGAGTGACTCACAGTTTATAAAACAGTCTCTCTTCAAGGACTTTGTAGCATTTATGCCTTGTGTAAACACTTTAAGCCAACATTCTCACTAAAAGAAGACACAATAACAGTGAAAACTCATAAAATTTTCAGATCTTATACTTTGAACTTAATGGACTTGTATGCTACACTTAAAGGACTAATTACTTCAGCAGCTAAGGTCATTAGTTAGGAAAATTCAGTTAAAAAATGAAAGCATTTGGTAAGGGTTGACTTTCATCTGGCCCAGTATTTTAGCCATATTTACCCAAGAATTAAATGAAGATGCACATAACTGTACGGATACTGTTTCAATGGTGAATACGTTAGTTTAACCCATTATAGGGCATTCGTTTAAGTATCTTAACTTTTTAAAATTTCAACCCCAGGGTGTTATTGTAGTCCATAACCAACGTATATTTCTGATTTTACAATTTTCAAAAATATTTATTTTCATGCAGAAAATCAGAGAAAACAAAATGATCAAATATGGACGTTGGCCCTGTTCTGGTAAAATAAATCCCAAAACAAAATAACATGAACAAGTTAAATAAACAATATTTTTGAATAATGTTTAAAAACTTATGACACTTTAGAACAATCTAGCTAATTATAGAACATTATATCACTGTTCAAAATACTTAATAAATCACAGTTATTAAAAAATATAATATATTTTTATAAAAACGAGTTTCATCCATCCATTTTCATCCGCTTATCCAGAGTCGGGTCGCGGGGGCAGTAGCCTACTAAGTCGAGAGGCCCAGACTTCCCTGTCCCCAGCCACTTGGGCCAGCTCCTCCGGGGGAATCCCAAGGCGTTCCCTGGCCAGGTGAGAGACATAGTCCCTCCACCGTGCCCTGGGTCTACCTTTAGGTCTCCTCCCGGTTGGACGTGCCCAGAAAACCTCACCAGGGAGGCGTCCAGGAGGCATCCTGACCAGATGCCCGAGCCACCTCAACTGGCTCCTCTCGATGTGGAGGAGCAGCGGGTCTACTCCGAGCCCCTCCCGAATGCCTGAGCTTCTCACCCTATCTCTAAGGGAGAGCCCAGCCACTCTTCAGAGAAAACTCATTTCGGCCGCTTGGAACGAGACTGACTTACTGCCGGCAATGCAGACCAAGCTCTGACACCGGTCATACAGGGACCTAACAGCCCGTATCAGAGGGCCTGTTACCTCATACTCCCGGAGTACCCCCCACAGGGCCCCCCGAGGGACGTGGTCAAACGCCTTCTCTTAACCCTAACCCTAACCCACCCTAACCCTAACCTCTTCACCCTAACCCTAACCCAAAACACATGTAGACTCGTTGGGCAAATTCCCACGCACCCTCCAGGATCCCCCTAAGGGTATAGAGCTGGTCCAGTATTCCACGGCAAGGACGAAAACCACATTGCTCCTCCTGAATCTGAGGTTCAACAATCCAACGGACCCTCCTCTCCGGAACCCCTGAAAAGACGTTACCAGGAAGGCTCAGGAGTGTGATCCCCTGTAGTTGGAACACACCCTGCGGTCCCCCTTTTTAAATAAAGGAACCACCACCCCGGTCTGCCAGTCCAGTGGGACTGCCTTCGATGTCCATGCAAGCTCTGCACACAAAAAAACTAGTTATTGTGGAATATTTTTGAAAAGTTATTGAACAATAGAACTATTTCTGATCAAATATAGATTATTAGAATATTTTATATTTGAGGATGTTCCTCAATGTCATCTTCTTCCTGTTCATCATCCTCACTGATGGTGAAATTGGCTTGGTGCAATAAAAGTTCATCTCCATTTCCCTGAGATATCTTAGTTTAAAACTGCAAAATATATTCAGTATTATAACTTACTATTACTCTTATCATGAATATTAAGATTATGTCTAAAAAAACAACATTCATAATTTCTTTTACCTGTTCGGGGTGTGTGTTCAAATATGGCAGATTTGATTTTCATGCTATGATTTCACCAACTTAACTGAGATTACCATTCACAACACATATATTGTTATTTAGCGCAACTAGTCAACCATGTGATGTGAGAGTTTCATAAACCTAGCATTGTTAGTTTTAGAGATCTGACTGCAAACATGAGAGGAGACCGAGGAGTTTTCTGGCTCTGCAGACAAACCAGTGTTTGGCGCCTTATTGCTCCGCACTGATTGATGGATTGGCGCCATGGCGCAAACCATGACTAGCTTTATCTCTGATGATTGTTTTGGTGAATTCCCGTAATTCTAAGAGTTTGTGAAAAGGCACACCGGCATAATTTATGTTGTGAGTGTAAGTGTCTAAATATAGAAGTTGGCCCTGTAAAGGGTTAACAACTAAAATACTATTTTCAATTTGTCTAGTTTAGAAATCTTGATCAAGATAATTTCATAATGAGCTGCAGTACTGAGAAAAAGCTTCAAACCCCCTGTCATTTCTTTTAGCTTCACCTCCATGGAGCCAGACTTACTTGTAATGACTTGAAGTGGTCATTATTGGTTGTTTTTCAGGCTTTCTGAAGATCTTCAGACTCAAATAGTAAGAAAGTGTTCCAATGGTGGGAAAGAAGTGTCAACCCCTCCAAAAAAAAAAACTACAGCAGAACAGCTTCTGAAAGTCTTTAGAAATAGAAGAAAATCCACCTGATAAGTGGTCTCTCCTAAATGAATCAGACAGCTGAAAGCTTGCTGAGAATTACCGCTTTGGCACTAAAATAATATTGTATGTTTAAAATTGTTATCTTGGGTATTTTTCACAGTAAGACTCTAAATTAGAAATTAGAGCTGTCTTTTCTGACCTGCTGTTGGAAATAAAGTTTCTAGTCAAGTGATAACTACTGACTTGACACCATTATAAAAGTTTCTTTATTGGTTTAACTAACATAAATGGTGCAGATTGTATTATTGTGACAGTATCAAAGCTGGTGTTCATTCTACTAACTTGTAGGCAGATAAATATTCTAATTTAGTGGTAGTACTTTTTTAATGACTTTCACCTCATTAAATACTAATCTTTTTTAGTACTACTGAATTGTGACAGACATAGAAAAACAGCAGAACAATCTGACAAACTGCGCTACATATCTGACATGACAAACTGTCCAAATTCTCAACCCTGTCCTGGTTGATGTGTGGGGCTTAATATTTGATGGTTTATGGACTCTGTGCAGACAACATCACTACCCTAAAATTTTGGGTCTTCATTACTTGGAGTGTGTATTGGCAATAATCTGGCAATTTGATATGTATCAAAATACAGGAGAGACGGTATCATATATATCACAATACAGGAGAGATGATACGATATATATCACAATACATGAGAGACGGTAAGTTATGTATCACGGTGCAGGAGAGACGATACGATATGTATGACAATACAGGAGAGACGGTAAGAAATGTGTCACAAAACAGGAAAAATGATACGATATGTATCACAATACAGGAGGGACGGTGTGTGTGTGTGTGTGTGTGTGTGTGTGTGTGTGTGTGTGTGTGTGTGTGTGTGTGTGTGTGTGTGTGTGTGTGTGTGTGTGTGTGTGTGTGTGTGTGTGTGTGTACATGGCGAGGAACTGGACTTAATTTAGGGAAAAAAAGCATTCAATGTCCAAAAAAGACTTGGAACAACTTTCAAGATTTGGAGCCAATCAAGATTTGTTTTAATGATTACAAGAAGTTCATATTAACTGGAATTAAACTATAGAGATAAGCGTATTAATTTAGGTACTTTAGATTACAACCCGATGTCCAGAAAAGTTTGGGCATTCTTTAAAGAGGCTCTTTAATATGTAAAAGAGAGTGTAAAAGAAATTGTGGAATATTTTTAAAACAATGCCCCTCACTGCCAAATTGCAAAGGCTTTGCAAATCCCATCATTTTCATTGCATGAGATCATCAAAATATTCAGAGAAACTGTAGACACACCGACATAATCAAATGGTCCCAGGAATATTTAAACACAGTTCTACATGCCACATGCAAATGCCAACTAAAGCTTTATCGTACCAAATGGAAGCCATTTTTGAGCATGGCTGTTGTGTCCTGTGGGTCAAGACTGATTTGATATGGACTGTTTCATAGAGTTATATTATCAGATGAATCCAAATGTTTTGGTAATCACAGGTAGTGTATCCAACTTTATTGTATGATGGTACACAAACTCATACAGTTTTGGAAAGCTTGTAATGTATTTTTCCCTCCAGATAGTGTCTATATCAGGGCAGGCCTTGTATATTTCTATAGGACCATCACACCTGCATGGCTTTGTAACGTCCAGCAACGGTCAGTTTAGGTACTGTGTGACCATTCAACATCTGGTCAAAAAGGAGACACGAGACTGCACGTGTTCTCTTTAAATCAGCCTGCCTTCCTCACACCAGCCGGAGCTCAGAGCCTGCAGCTCTGACAGAGATAACAAAATCATAACATTTACATCCTGTTCTTTCCAAGGTCCCTCACAGAGCACCCCTTTTATCTAAACTCCTCACTTCATAGAAGAAAGAAGATTTTTAATATTAAATATGAACTTCTGAAATTTACAAGCCAGATAATCATTAAATAAACGTTTGTTTATTGCTACTTATAATAATTATAAAATAATGAAATGTTTCATTAATCTGTGCTCAATGATTGTTTTAGCATGTTTACTTGACAAGGTCATAACATTTGCACTCACACAAGTACAAAGTAAGGTAAAGTTAAATCCATGACACATAATTAACCTTTTACCCAGATCAGAGCCTCTGGATCAAAGAAAGCGTGTGTCTCTGAGATTCTTGGTAACATCCAAACTTATCAACCTCTGGTTGGCTACACAATCAAAACATCATAACATTAAAATCAGATGACGCTGGTGATTCTTGAGTTCCAGAGAAGCTTCAGGCCGGCCACCTGAAGCAAAACCCTCTTCAACCCACTAAAGCTTTTGACACGTTGTCAAAGCTTTTTTTCACACCTGCGAAGCTGATACAACAAAATAGTTCCTGCAGAACAAGCTGAGTTGTTCAAATCCTTAAGAGTTATTTCTGAGACGCAAACTAGTTCCAACTGTCATTACCTGGAGATGACTCTGGACTGACCTGGTCGTACTGCAGGTTAATCTACGGACTTCGGTACTTGGGGTCTCCGACCCCCCCCCCCCCCCCCCCCCCCCAAAAAAAAAGGGGCGTCTCCACTTGGGTACACAGAACACAGTGAGACTGCGTCTGGATGTGGTTTTTGATAATAGTCAACCTCATAGCTTAACGCAAACCAAATTCTTTTACATGCAGAATTCAGCTCTCCGAGATACGGAAGTTCTGACCAACACTGCATTCACACATAGGTTCCAGACATCACCTTTAGTTCCATCCACTCACAGTAAATAATAGTTAACCAATTTGTCAAGTTTTAATTGTTTGTAAAATAAATTCTTACTTTTATAAACCTGACTGTTTCTTGAATCAAAATGAAGTGTGTACAATCCCCTAATAAATAAAGAATCCTAGTGTCTTCTGAATAAAGCACAATAAAGACCAGGCAATGTGATATTCTATACAGGGAGTGCAGAATTATTAGGCAAATGAGTATATTGTCCACATCATCCTCTTCATGCATGTTGTCTTACTCCAAGCTGTATAGGCTTGAAAGCCTACTACCAATTAAGCATATTAGATGATGTGCATCTCTGTAATGAGAAGGGGTGTGGTCTAATGACATCAACACCCTATATCAGGTGTGCATAATTATTAGGAAACTTCCTTTCCTTTGGCAAAATGGGTCAAAAGAAGGACTTGACAGCCTCAGAAAAGTCAAAAATAGTGAGATATCTTGCAGAGGGATGCAGCAGTCTTAAAATTGCAAAGCTTCTGAAGCGTGATCATCTAACAATCAAGCGTTTCATTCAAAATAGTCAACAGGGTCGCAAGAAGTGTGTGGACAAACCAGGCGCAAAATAACTGCCCATGAACTGAGAAAAGTCAAGCGTGCAGCTGCCAAGATGCCACTTGCCACCAGTTTGGCCATATTTCAGAGCTGCAACATCACTGGAGTGCCCAAAAGCACAAGGTGTGCAATACTCAGAGACATGGCCAAGGTAAGAAAGGCTGAAAGACGACCACCACTGAACAAGACACACAAGCTGAAACGTCAAGACTGGGCCAAGAAATATCTGAAGACTGATTTTTCTAAGGTTTTATGGACTGATGAAATGAGAGTGAGTCTTGATGGGCCTGTGGCTGGATTGGTAAAGGGCAGAGAGCTCCAGTCCGACTCAGACGCCAGCAAGGTGGAGGTGGAGTACTGGTTTGGGCTGGTATCATCAAAGATGAGCTTGTGGGGCCTTTTCGGGTTGAGGATGGAGTCAAGCTCAACTCCCAGTCCTACTGCCAGTTTCTGGAAGACACCTTCTTCAAGCAGTGGTACAGGAAGAAGTCTGCATCCTTCAAGAAAAACATGATTTTCATGCAGGACAATGCTCCATCACACGCATCCAAGTACTCCACAGCATGGCTGGCAAGAAAGGGTATAAAAGAAGGAAAACTAATGACATGGCCTCCTTGTTCACCTGATCTGAACCCCATTGAGAACCTGTGGTCCATCATCAAATGTGAGATTTACAAGGAGGGAAAACAGTACACCTCTCTGAACAGTGTCTGGAAGGCTGTGGTTGCTGCTGCACGCAATGTTGATGGTGAACAGATCAAAACACTGACAGAATCCATGGATGGCAGGCTTTTGAGTGTCCTTGCAAAGAAAGGTGGCTATATTGCTCGCTGATTTGTTTTTGTATTGTTTTTGAATGTCAGAAATGTATATTTGGGAATGTGGAGATGTTATATTGGTTTCACTGGTAAAAATAAATAATTGAAATGGGTATATATTTGTTTTTTATTAAGTTGCCTAATAATTATGCACAGTAATAGTCATCTGCACACACAGATATCCCCCTAAAACAAACTAAAAACTACTTCCAAAAACATTCAGCTTAGATACTAATCAGTTTTTGGGTTCATTGAGAACATGGTTGTTGTTCAATAATAAAATTATTCCTCAAAAATACAACTTGCCTAATAATTCTGCACTCCCTGTATTTAGATAGAGTATCACAGCTTATTGGTCACAAGTAGAGTTAATATATATACTGAGCTAAAGTACCCAGTTTACCTTACCCTACAGCTTTGTCGTCGTCTTCCTCCGCTTATCCGGGTCCGGGTCGCGGGGGCAACATCCCAACTAGGGAGCTCCAGACCGTCCTCTCCCCAGCCACCTCCACCAGCTCCTCCGACAGGACCCCAACGCATTCCCGGACCAGATTGGTGATGTAACCTCTCCAACGTGTCCTGGGTCGACCCGGGGGCCTCCTGCCGGCAGGACATGACCGAAACACCTCCACAGGGAGGCGTCCAGGAGGCAACCTAACCAGATGCCCAAACCACCTCAACTGACTCCTTTCGATCTGGAGGAGCAGCGGTTCTACTCCGAGTCCCTCCCGAATGTCCGAGCTCCTAGCCCTATCTCTAACCCCTTCTTTCCACCAGAGCCGTCAGCAGCACGTTACTGCAGCAGCACGTCATAGCTGCTGATAAGAACTGCTGTGGTCAACAGAACCTTTTCCACCGGAGCCGTCAGCAGAGCGAGTCGGCCGAGTCTCAGGAGCAGCATGTCGTGGCCCTTACGCGCCGGTTCTATTTTCTATGCGCAACGCCTCTGAAACGGGTCAAGTTCGACATTGAAAGTCCTGGAGTGGCCTAGCCAGTCTCCAGACCTCAACCCCATAGAAAATCTGTGGAGGGAGTTGAAAGTCCGTGTTGCTCGGCGACAGCCCCAAAACATCACTGCTCTCAAGAAGATCTGCATGGAGGAATGGGCCAAAATACCAGCTACTGTGTGTGCAAACCTGGTAAAGACCTATAGTAATCGTTTGACCTCTGTTATTGCCAACAAAGGTTATGTTACAAAGTATTGAGTTGAATTTTTGTTATTGACCAAATACTTATTTTCCACCCTGATTTACAAAGAAATTCTTTAAAAATCCTGCCATGTGAATTCATGGATTTTTTTCACATTCTGTCTCTCACAGTTAAAGTGTACCTATGATGTAAATTACTGACCTCTGTAACTTGCACAATTGGTGGCTGACTAAATACTTTTTTGCCCCGCTGTAGGTGAGGATTGGGACGTAGATGGACCGGTAAATCAGCTTTGTCAGAAATTAATCCAGGTGCTAAATTAGCCTGCCCGTAGTCCAAACCTTTCACCTATAAAGAACATTTGATGCATGATTTACCATAAAAATATGTCAAAGGCAACCATAAAGTCTTCAGCAGCTGGAAACGTCTAGGCAAGAATGGGACCAAACTCCAACACTAAGACTCACAATCTTGAGGACCAGATGTCGTTAAGCCATTGAGACCAGTAGCAAGCATCACATTTAAAATTGTATAACTTCTGAGTTAGAACAATCATCATATTTTCTATGTTCTGTTGTAAATAAAGTATTGGTGCAAAGCATTTGGAAGTCTTCTAATCGTCTTTCACTTCAAATTTAAAAAACATCCTGACTTATGAATGACTCACTTACCAATTCATATTTTTTTCTCCCTATTAAAAAATAAGTTTGGTCATTTTCCCTGAATTGTTCCTTTGTTCTGTGTGACAGGAAATGCTGGATATCATGAAGGCCATCTATGATATGATGGGTAAATGCACGTACCCCGTCTTGAAAGAGGAGACACCTCGTCAGCACGTAGAAGTGTTCTTCCAGGCAAGTGTCTGCTGGGTCTCTGTTGTCTGGGAGGCTTTACATATCTCTGTCACGGTTTGTTTGTTTGTTTGTTTGTTTGTTTGGTTTTCCATCTTTCCCTTTCTTTGTCCCCAACAGAAGATGGATAAAAATAAAGATGGGGTGGTAACCATAGACGAGTTCATTGACTGTTGCCAAAATGTAAGCTGGATTCCTCACAATTCTTCCTTGACTACCGTTGGCCTGAATTGTGTTATTCATTACATTGTTTCTCTTTATCCTCAGGATGAAAACATCATGCGATCAATGCACCTCTTTGAAAATGTTCTCTAACTTCTGGCTGCCTGTGGAAGCTTTTGGAGGACAATGTTGTCTTTAGCATGGCCCAATTACTGACTTGGACTCATTCTTTGTACAGTGTGCTATGCAGACTTTCGACCATAGATTTAAATATTGTTCATTACTGCAGGCCACAATTAGGAATAGGCTGCATGGTGGGAACACTCTGGAAAGAACAGCTTTTTAATCAGACCAAAACAAAACTACAGCTGAAACAAACACAAATAAAGAAGGAAACCATTATGTTCAAGCCACAGATTGATCCTCACGGTTCGTACTTGAGAAAACTTAATGGGATAAAAAAAAGTTGTATTTACTGCCAAGTAAAATCACTGTGACTCAAAAATAGTTCATATGAGATCTGATGTAACCTTTTCTTCTTTTTTTTCAATTCCAGAATGTTCCCATCAACTGAGGGTCTGATTTAGCTCTTTGAAGGAAGGATTTAGAGAGAAAAAAAATGGGGGGGGGGGCATATGTTGTACCATTTTGAATTGTGTATATACAAAACGTAAAACACTAGATGACAATTCTATTTAACAAACTTTTGAAACTTTATTCATGTTTAGTTGCCAACTAGACAACACAAGGATTGTATTGATGTCAAATCTGGACCATCAAAGCAGCGGTATAATCTGAAAACGGAGCCCGCCAAGGGTCCGGGAGGTGAAGTAAAAATACAGTTGTTAAAATATGTTCCCACAGTTTAGGGAGCAGTAAACATGAATTTGCCGGGAACGTCGTGGTTATGTGTAGAAGGTGTGTAGAGCTTGGGTTTCAGGATGGATTTGGGGGTGGTAGATCTGAAAATTGTCGCAAAAATGTTGCAAATACAGATTTTGAGGGATTTTAACTTTTAAGTTTTTTTATTTTTAAGTTGGTATATTTTCTCTTAGTTTTGTGTCTCAAACTGTTCGCAGACTGTCTTGATACTGACTTAAATACAACCTGAGATAGAAAAATAGATCAGATGTTTATCAGTCAGACATTTTTGTCAGGCTGCATGGTATTATAGGTGGTACTACCAATATGGTAGCACCGTTACCTTGCAGGAAGAAAGTTAAAGTCCCATTAGTTATCACAAACTGGTGAAATTACATCTCTGCATTTGACCCATCCCCATGGGGAGCAGAGAGCTGCAGTAGTGGCTGCACTCGGGATCTATTGGTTTAACCCTCCAATCCAACCAAGCTGCGTGTCAAGCAGTGGGTCCCATTTTTAAAGTCTTTGGTATGACCTGACTGAGATTTGAACCCTGATCTACCAGTCTCAGCGTGGACACTCTACCACTAGGCCACTGGTCAAAATCCCAGCCATGGCCTTTTTGCAGAGTTAGCATGTTCTAACCATGCATGATTTTCTCCGGATAATCCAGTTTTCTCTCTCAGACCAAAAATGTTTGGTTAAGTGGCGACACTAAATTGTCCATAGGAGTGAGGATGTGCCTGGTTGCTTATCTCGTTCTGTTTATGCATACCTGTGATCCAAAATGTCCCCCACCTTTCACCCAATGACCGCTGTAGCTAGGCACCTGCTCTCTTCAACCCTATTGACAAATAAGTGACTCAAATAATCAGTGAATGAATAATTGTTTCATTTCAGCAGTTAAACTATGAATTTGCTCATTCGGATAATATTTTATGTTTTTTTCATCTGATAGGGTCAGCATATGCCGCGATATGTAAACATCAGTGTTTGAGGTAAGCGTTATTGAGAACAACCCCAGTGTCTCTAAATTGGATGGTACCTGTCCAAATAGCAGATAAAGTCTGTCCAACAGGAGAAGAGTATCCGCTACAGTCACAGGACTTTTCCAGGAAACCTCAAACACTGCTTGATGTTTGTTGTAGGTTGTCTTTGGTCGTGAGAGGGCTACATCCTGAAGTATGACCAAAAACCAAAAGTTCAAGATCAAAGATTCTTGTCACGATTCTTGTCTACAACATGCACACATCCCATTCTTTGAAGCTGGCTTTTACTTGAATGCTGCCTAAAAACTTTTTTGCTGGTTTGTTTCAAACCTGCTGATTCTAGACAGAAGAATTAGTCTAACTTGAACAACCGTAAACAGAATCATCACCAACCCTAATTCTAACCCTAACCCTACACAGAATCATCCCTGTTGGCTATTCTGTGTGCATAATATCTCAAAGGGAACAGATTCAAACACATCTATTTTTATTTCCCCTCTGGCTCTTGATGGACTCCATAGTCTTAAGCACACAGGTAGCTCGATTTACCACAAGTATCACATTAGACGACTTTGTAAAACCAGAAGAGAGAAAAGCTGCTTTCAGTGTACTTTTATTTATGTATGTATGTACATTTCCTGTAAAGTAAACCATCTATCATCATGTTATTTTTATTTATTATGACTGTGGAGGAGTTTTTACTAAGAGCAGCGTTTGGGGTTTCAGTAGACTTTCATGCTTGTTGTATAAAGGATTGTCAGTTGTACAGTATTAAATGATGATTTGCTCTTGGATTTATTTATGTAATTCATCTTTATCAAAGCAGTGCTCTTGGGGTTTATTCGTCGATTTTAAAGAATTAAACCACACATTTAAGGTGGCAGACTGAGATGGTTCTTGCTGTTTTTCCTCCTCCACGTCCCGTAGGACAACATCCAGCTGCCTACACCATTTCAGCCTGATTGACCCCTGATTAAACCATTGATTGGCACCAAATGGAGGAGAAAAAAGCCATGCTGCGTAAAAGTATGATGCTTGGAAACGGTTGGATCAGGACATTGTGTAACTTGAGTGGTTTCATCTGACGTTTTCTGTGTTTTTCTTCTCACAGTGACACGGATATCAGAAACAGGGAGGTTGCATTAACCTAATCCAGGAAAGTGAGGTATTCCTGAGAATCGCAGATTCAGGTGCACCATTTAGTAGGATTCCACAGTAAAACGTGTTTATGTCTTATAGGGGAAGGTTTTATTTTAGTAAAGAGAATGAGACATCATTCTGTGTGTACTTGTGTTTTGCATAACTTTATTTAGAAATGTTTTTTTTGTTGTTGCCATGTTTAAAGTAGATTTTTGAATTTGATAAAGTGACAGCAGAATTTATTATACTCCCTTTAAAATGTGCATAATATATGAGGAACTGAAAACGCATTAGTAAGATTTTAATTTTGTGAACGGATGCTTGTTGAGACAAAAGATTTGTCAACGTGTGCCCCCTTGTGGTGACAGCAGGATATGACATCAGGATCTGTTTAGGACTAAAACATCTAATGACAAATTTAAAAACGTTTTGTAGCATGTGAAGAACAACTAGAATCAAGATCGATTTTGAAGTTTTCATTAATACGTGCAGTTGCTGTTTAACATTTACACCCTGCGTATCATTCAATTAGAACTTTTAATGATTTATTTGAATACTCAGTGAAATTGATGTAGATTTAAACAAGTTGGGTGTTTCTTTTAGAGGCATTTCTAAAAAAACTATGTAGACAAAAGGGGGAACAAGACCCAAACTGTCAACATCAGATGAAAATAAGTTGGCTTTGATATTCAAAAACAACTGATCCTCAATGCTGGAACCAGCTTCAACTCTCATTATCACCATGCACAGAGTAGACCAAGAAAAAAAACAGACTTTTAAGTTCATCTGTCCACCTGACGTAGACAAATTTCGGCAGAAAGATTTGGTATGGTTCAGTTCATTGAACTGACTGTCAAGCAGGGTGGTGGCAGCATCATGCTGTGGAGGAAATAAGTTTGCCTGAATCCATCAGTTGGGTGTTACAACAAAACAATGGTCCCAAACTTATCAGAACTGGTTTCCAATTGGATAAAACAAGCGAACATACGTTTCTGGAACAGCCTCGACCTGAAATCAGTAAAACGATCATGTTTAAAGTAGATAAATTTATATGAAGCAAAACTCAACTTTTGCCTCCTTTTTTGTTGCCACGTGAGTCTGCTGCCTGTATAAACACTCCAAACATGAAACAAATCAGTCAGTGTTTGATTTTAGGAATTATAAGCCCAAAACAAGCAGTTTCAGAAAATCAGTTTGTGATGTCACAAACGGAGAAAGTAAAAAAGAACCACCTCCAATGTGGAAGAAAGAGCTGCTGTTGGAGAAGCAGTGAGTCTACTCTAAGGCTCTAGCGGTTGTCGGAGCTTCTCACCTTATAGCAGCCTGAGTAGGGGATGGGTGGACACGGCCAGAAATAGTCAAGAATCAAACCACTTTATGCAAGAGGGGTTTTGCACAAAGAACTTTATTAGCATGTTTTTAAATCAATCATAACAGCAGTGAAAATGTGGGGGAAAAAATGTAAATAAAGGCAACTTCCTGTGTTTTTTCCAGCAAGTTAAAGTTGAAAATGGCGCAGAAAAAAAAATCTGAGTGGCCTGACACGAGGTGGAAGAGGACGGAGCAGGTTACAGAGTAACGAGTTGTTTTTACTAAACCTACATAAACTTATTCTATTATTTTCAGCAGCACTGTGGGTCATGAGGAGGTATTTTTACACACCGTTGTCAATCAGACTCTGATAGGGTTGGCATACTCTGCTTTTTTGACACTTGGATTGTTAGTATATGTGAGGAATAATAATGGGAGCCTATGTGTAAATCTGAGCCTTAGCGTATAATTTTAATCATGTAGGAAAGAAACTCTACAGTAAATTCAAACGTGTGCATCGTGTTTTTTTTATCCTTGGGAGTTGTGTGTTAATAAAATAAAAGATAAACAGACAATTGTTTCAAATGGTTTAATTAACAAAGAGTTTTGGATTAGAGTTGGGAATGAAATGTACATAAATGGAATGTTTCGTCACAAAAGTGACGTCCATCATTTTCTGTTTGACTCAAATCACCTGAGATAAAGTTTACATACAAACCAACCAAAAGGCTGACATCTGGAACAATCGCACCAACATAAGGCAGGCTGTCCCTCCTGGACAAGACGCAGAAACACGAGGACACGGTCGTCTTCAGATGAGTAACACCAATTATAGCTCTAATAAAAAACAAGTCATGTGATCCAATAAGACGCTGTACAGAAGTGAAATCTGAATCTTGGTCTGATGAACAGAAGGTTATGCTTCTGTTTAAACTGTTAAACGTATTAATTCATGTGAAGAGGGCTGTAAATGTAAATTTGATACCTTAGCAGGTCCCTTTTTTTCTTACTAAATGTTCCCGTTTTAGCACCGACTTCGAGGACCAGAGAGACAGACTTCTTTTGTTTGGAGCCTGAGCCGTCAAGTGCTAGCACTCAAAAACAAAAAGCTTTGAGAGGACAAGCTCAGCCATACATGGTGAAGGAATTTGACTTTTGGTGTGTGTGTGTGTGTGTGTGTGTGTGTGTGTGTGTGTGTGTGTGTGTGTGTGTGTGTGTGTGTGTGAGAGAATTAAACACCATGAATCACTCTGTGTGATTACAGGACAGACATCCACTCACTCCAGCTGGGTGTGTGTTCTTGTTACATATTTGAATTTTCATTCCTATTTCACCCAATCAGATAACAAACGTCATTTATTAAGACTCATATTCACTTCTCAAGAGCATATCTGTGCACACAGCCAGATAGAATCAGCCTCCAATTCTTATCAGACGCTCTAAATCTACTCGCTAGATAACAGGAAATGCTGTAACTAGTTGATTGCACAGTGGGTGTTGTATTGCTCCAGCCGCAAGCACTGAGGTCATTCCAGTCGCTCCATTTTTATAGAATAAATCCTCCAGATTTACTAGAAAGTCACAAATGGTTAAAGCTGTTCCTAAAAGGCCTGGGTTTCCATTCAGATGGCTTTTGTTCAAGAGGCCATCTCACTCTTACTGTAAGTTCTCTGAGAGGACGTCTGGTTAAGTGAGCAGCTGCCTGATCTCTCTGTGAACATAGCACAGGAAGTCCACGTAGGAGGCCCCGCCGTGCAGACCTTTGTCCTCCACCAGGAACTGGCGAAACACCATCTCTGGTTTATCTCTCTGCCTCACAATCTGGAGCTGTGTGGGGCAGAAAAAACATTTATATCATTTACAGGAGTTTCCTTTGACTGCTCAAAATAGTCTAATAATTGGAAACCGACATGTGTGTTTGACTAAATTAATTATCTTATTTTTATATAGAAAATGTATTGATGTATTAGTCATCACGCCGATTCTGTTTCATCCTGAAGTTGATTTAATGTGTTTGTAGCAGTTTCTGATCCGTGTGCTCACCTGATCTCCACTAGAGGGGAGCAGAGACCAAGAAAAGCTGCTGTTTCCGCCACTCACTTTTTGGTGCTTTTTAAACTTGAAAAATTCAAATAAATGTAATAAACCGAGCGTTTCAGCTCTTTTCTAAGGATCGTACCTTCATGGAGTTTGGTCTCTTCTCCAGAAGCTCACTGATGATGGAGTGGATCTTCTTAGACAACAGGTTGTCCAGCTCTGGCAGCACACACTACAAGACAAAACAGTTCATTTATGTGTAACCTCATAAAAGCACATGAAACCACAGCTGATCTGAGAACAGAAAGCTTTGACGCGATCTTTCAGGAAAATGGCAAAGCTGATGCGGTCTTCTTGATCTCCCACCGTGTTGTCCTGTAGATGAGCCAGAGACGGCACGTTGAAGAGGTTCTGGGTGAGGTCCGGTGGGCTGGCTTGTCCGAGCCACAGAAACATGGAATGCCCGTTTTCCAGCAGGAACATGCCGGAATCCAGCAGACGTTCCTCTGAGCAGCGAACTGGAGCCGGCACCGCCTCGCTGCCGGGGTCTATGTTGTGCTGGGGAGCAGAAAGTTCAAACATCAGCAAGCTGGTCCAGTCCGTGTCTCCTCAAGTCGTGTTTTAAGCTCCTACCAGAGGGAGGAGACGTGGATAGAGAAGCAGCTGCGTCTCCTCCACCCCCATGGCCATGAGGGACTGCCTCTGGTGGGCCCGCTCATCGGTGGGGAGCTCGGTGCTGCCCACTAGAGGGGACGTCTTCATCAGGCTGTTCATGTAGACGGGGAGCACTTTCATGGAATCGGGCAGGATGAGCTGCAAGAGGACAAACGTCACCATTACTATCTGAGAAGTGGGAAGTCTCCTGTTCCAAACCACTTCCTGTGCTCACCTGGCTGACAGCTGACGGGCTGGCACAATTCTTCCTGTAGCAGGCTAGCATGTGGGCGGTCTGGTTCACTAAGATCTCCCTCACGTTTTTCACAGGTTGGGTCAGTATGGCTCGGTAAGCTGAGGAGACAGCAGGAAGATCAGAGGACAACAAAGCTGCCTTAGCTTTAAACAGAAACGTCAACTCACCTGATTTGGCGAAGAAGTTGATGAGCGCGTCGGTCTCGCAGCTCTTATACAGCTCCGACAGCTGCGAGCTGCAGTTCAGACTCAGGTTGTGGACGCGGAGACGTCGCTGCCCACCGATGGTGGTGTACAGCAAGGCACACTGGGAAATACAGCATGAAATATACGCTTTAAAGGTGCATGAAGTAAGAATGCCCTCCGGTGGTCAAATGTGGGTACTGCAGTCCATCTTTCAAAAACAAGTCCACCTTGAGCAACTGCTGCTGTTTGAGTGAAGACGAGTCATCGACAGTAAGCTGATAATTATTCTGATTATTTTACAGCAAAAGACATACCTGTTAAATATAAGGTTCATGCCTTCTTAGATGTTCAACCCCACTCATAGCCCTGAGTCGAGGCATTCCTGTGCCCCAGAGAGCAGGCGGTCCTTTTCTGACCAACATCCCATACCATTAAATGTCTTCTAGTTTCAAAATTCACAAGCAGTAGTGGATTATGGGTAATATCCTTCACCAAAGTTTTTGCCAAAGTCTGCGCCTTTGCAGGTTTCAGTAAAGTGCAAAGTAAAGGTAAAAAGGGGCGGGGCCATGTTATTCTCTAGAAAATCAAAACACCCCACGCACAACTGAGGGGCACAAGGGTGGAAGTGTGAGTATTGGGATGGGCCTACGTCTACCTCTACAGCTCAGAATGAAATCTGTTTCAATGGTAAATGGCCTGTATTTGATATAGCGCCTTCTAGAGTCCTGGAACCCCTCAAGGCGCTTTACAACACAATCAGTCATTCACCCATTCACACACACATTCACACACTGGTGGGGATGAGCTACGATGTAGCTACGAGGCTGCCGAGCACTGGCGCCACTGATCCCTCCGACCACCACCAGCAGGCAACGTGTGTCTTGCCCAAGGACACAACGACAGCGACAGACTGAGCGGGGCTCGAACCTGCAACCTTCCGATTATGGGGCGAGTACTTAACTCACGTGCCACCGTCGTGTCAATGTCACGTTCCTTCCAACACGATTGAGACAGACTGTTTTATGTTTATTTCATTGTAGAATTTGTCCATATTGCTCCTTTAATCAAAAACAATGAATTGTTCTTCTACAGGTGTACCCCTACCTGAATAAGGGCGCCCGTGTCTTCTCCAAGCGTGTCGTCGTGCTTAAATTCCACCGTCACAGCTTTGTCGCAATCCACAGCCGCCATCTCGATGTCCGTAGTGTTGTTCATGTGGACGGCTCCGAAGAAATCCGTGGCTCTGAAGCCTGAAGAACACAAATGGGCCCATAAGGCGCTGGTGGACAGCTGTGATGTAACGTAGCATACTGGTGAGGTTCGTACCTGTACTGGTTCGGACTCTCATTATGGCGTCGAAGCCGATGCTCTTCTGTAAGTCTTTCCTCAGATCCCTGAGGAAATGGTCCCCGTCTGTCTGGATCTGTCAGCAGACGGCAGAGCAGTCACGGCTAGCGACGGTGAGGAGGCGATTTACTGAGATCTACACCGTCTCTCAGGCTAATGGAGGTTATTATGGGATGTACAATACTGCTCGATAGCTTGGGATTGCTTGGAAATCTTTTTGTTTCCATGGAAACACAAATGAAACTAGTCAGAGTAGGAAATGAATGTGTCAAATCTTGTGATATTGTGTGTGATGTCACCTTGTGTTAAAGATCTGACCTTCATATTTGAACATGAAGCGACCTGTACCTGGAAGTTATTGTACTTGAAGACAGAGCCCCCGGTGTGTGACGGCACATGGGCCATGGTGGCCAGGTCCAGGTACTGGCTGGGGAACAGGAAGAGATCCACACAGCAGCCCTGGGCCACACAGTCTTTAGACAGCTGCTCGTACACACCTTTGTGAGGCAGAAACAGGGTCTGTGGAGGAGGGGTAGCAAACATGTTGTGTTCTGATTTCCAACGACACCCAAAGGCATCACGAACATTTAAATGAGCACAATCTCTAAGTGTTTCATCATTACTGTAAACAAACGCCACAGAGAAGAGTCTCACCTTCTCCTTGTCGGTGCCGACCAGCTTCTTATCATCTCTGTTCTTTAGTTTTCCCGGCGCCTCGGCCGTGGGCATCGACGAGTGGAAGATGAAGAGTTTTCCGCTGCATTCTGCCGCCTAAATGGAGGAAGCAGAGGCACAGACCGGTCCTGGGTTATTAAACGGAGATCAGAATAGACCTGGGTTTCCCTTCCCTAGTTTAGTATGGTCGACACTACACTTCCCGTCACCTCTCTTCCTGCTAAATCTGATGTTTAAAGTTGAAAACCTTTCATCCTAAGTCCTTAAAAACTTCATTTTTAAGGGTTTTCCAACAAAACAAACGCAAAAAAAAAAAAAAAACAACCTCAAAGTGAAAGTAACATGATGACATAAACCAGCACAGGAGGCCCCAGTGTGTCTCTAGATGTTGACAGATGTCCCCGCATGTCTCTAACCTTAAACGCCTCCACGCCAGCCTGAACCACCGGGGCAAAGACCGTCTCGCTCTCGTTGGTGTCTGCAAACATGTCAGGGATCTGGTCCAGGAGGCTGGAGGAAGAAGTGAAGTGATTAGAACTCTTTTCCACTCTTCTTCTAAGAGGACTCCGATGTCATCCTACTTGCAGATGACGGCCTTCGACTCCTGGTAGTCCACGAGGAACCCGTCGAGCAGCGGGACAAACATCTCGGCCGTGTCCGACACCACCAACATCTGTGGCTGGGCCAACGCGCTCTTCACGTTGTAGAAGTGGAGCACCTTGTTGTAGGTGACAAAGCCCACTTTGACTGCAGAACTCTCAGCACCTTCCTGCCTGGTGAGGAAGAGGAGGACACAGAATGAGATCCGGGCTTCCTCAGGAGGAGACGTGGGTCTAACCAGTCAGAATAGTTTAGATGAGTCGCTCAGAGGGAGTGTGTGAGAGATAAGACATCGAAGACTTTGAAAAACTTTCGATTTAGAGCCTCGAACTCCTGCAGAACGGAACACGAAACAAGATTATCTGAGAGCTGACGTCACTTCTAAGCAACACCCAGGTCAAATAATCAAACCCACACATCCTTTGATAATTAGAAAATCACTGGCTTGTTAGACTTTGTCTTCATATGTGTGACTGTAGAAATGGGGAAACGCGGCTACCTCCATCCTTAAATCCAACTAAATCCCGTGATGTTCACCAGAACTCTGGTGAAACGCATTCCTCACCGACACGCCTAGCTGCGGTTTGTCCACCTCTCTTCTTAAATCTGTCAGACAGAAATGTGACTGGGAACAGCTACTGGAATATATCACTCACAAATAACCGCCATCCCATCAGGACCTCTTCCAGAGGGGGGGGGGGGGGGGGGGGGGGGGGGGGGGGGGCAAGAGTCATACTCATCAATATTCACACATCTCACCACTTCTGACTGGCTAACAGCAACGTACTTCTTCCACCGACTCTGTTTGCTTTGCAGTGTGGATGTTTCATCTCCACAAATACCGTGTTTTCCAGAGTATAAGCGCACCAGCCATAAAATGTATAATGAAGAAAAAAACATATATAAGTCGCATTTTTGGGGGAAAATTTATTATTTTTCTTACAAAATCTGAGACCATGCATTTCACAAGTACTGGTAACAATAACAGAATAAACAATCAGGGCACAGCAGCACGCTACGGTCTCCAGCAGAGGATGGCAGTGTTTCAAACCCTCCCAGTGGGACAGGGGAGCTCATTCCTGGTTCGGAGCCGGCCCGCAGCAGCACGGTTTACATAACTTGGTATACAAGTCGCTTTGGTATATAAGTCACAGGACCAGCCAGACTATGAAAAAAAGTTCGACTTATAGTGCGGAAAATGCGGTACCCCAAGCCTGGAGGAGTTCTGCTGTATGGTGGAGATGCTAATGCTAACGGTTAGCTTCTACTAGCTGAGACGTTCTCTGCTGTTTCCTAGATGCTTAACCAACAACAGCCTTTCCCATTATGAGTCAAGATGGGCGAATCCATGAATGTTGAGTGACAGTGTGACGTAAATCTGTCAGGATTTTCTAGTCCTAGAGTTTCACCGACTATTTTCTCTCAGAAGCTAATGCAGGAGATAGGTGTAGGCGACTATTTTCATGTTCAGCCTCAGAGTGACCGATTATAATCAAAAATAATAAATACAAATGTTTTGTCAGTGTTTCACACCTTTAAGACACGTTTGAGACTCATTCTGAAGGCGTAATCAAAACTAAGACAAAAAAAGACCACAATGTCAAATAGTTGCTAGTTTGTGGTTTATCCATTAAAGTCGTACCCATACCTACTCAGTTATATTTACTTTAAAAATAGAACAAATGCAGTTGGGTTTAGGAGAACTTTCCACTCTTCAATAGTTTGATTATATTCTGGAAATGTTTTGATTTTTCTGTATTTCTGTTATTTAAACTATCAGCTCGTGTTGTTGCTGCTGGCAGCAACAAAGCAGATGAGTTATTTTAGGAGTAACTGTGAACTAATTGTTTACGTAATGATTAGAAATTTGTTTGTCTGTACCTGGGCAGCTTCTCCAACAGGGTCTTGAGCTCATCACAAATCAGTCTGACCAGGCCGCTTTTGATGTTGTTATATGACACGTCGATCATAAAGATGAAGGCAGGAGAATTGGGAGGCTTGTTGTTCTGTGTGGGGAAAAGAAGACGGTAACATAGACAGGACGAAAAACAAAACTTTTAAAAAGGTGAAAATACAAGAACAAAGATTTAAATCTTTCTTTACAGTCAACTAAGGTGTACTGGCTGAACTCTTGTTCAGCTTAAAGGGGTCCTAGAACAACTGTTCAATGACCCTTTGCAGTTTTGTCAGTCCCTGGGTGGAGGTGGGGGGGAGGGTGGCCGTACTCTGTTAGACCAGACCGCAAGCTGTGGATCTCTCTGGCATTCTGGACAATCCCATTAAATCCTGAAATGTGTTCATGCCAACATTCTTCTTTGTTATTTGCTGTTGTACAACAAGGGTGTTAGTAGCTCGGGCTAGTGTTGGAAGTAGCTCAGGTTAGCATTAGAATTAGCTCAGGATACTGTTAGCAGTAGCTCAGGCAAGGGTTAATAGTAGCTCAGGCTAGTGTTAGCAGCACCTCGAGCTAGCATTAAGCTAGCAATAGAATTATCTCAGGCTAAGGTTAGCAGCAGCTCAGGCTAGGATTAGTAGTAGCTCATGCTAGCATTAGGATTAGCACAGGCTAGCGTTAGCAGCACCTCAAGCTAGCAATAGAATTATCTCAGGCTAAGGTTGGCAGCAGCTCAGGCTAGGATTAGTAGTAGCTCATGCTAGCATTAGGATTAGCTCAGACAAGGGGAAAGTAGTATTTCAGACTAAAATGGTAAATGGCCTTTATTTGATATAGCGCCTTCTAGAGTCCTGGAACCCCCCCAAGGCGCTTTACAACACAATCAGTCATTCACCCATTCACACACATTCACACACTGGTGGGAATGAGCTACGATGTAGCCACAGCTGCCCTGGGGCGCACTGACAGAGGCGAGGCTGCCAAGCACTGGCGCCACCGGTCCCTCCGACCACCACCAGCAGGCAACGTGGGTTAAGTGTCTTGCCCAAGGACACAACGACAGCAACAGACTGAGTGGGGCTCGAACCTGCAACCCTCCGATTACGGGGCAATCACTTAACTCCTGTGCCATTGTCGCTCACTAGTGTTAGAAGTAGCTCAAGCTAGCACTGGCAGTTGCTTGAGGTAGCATTAGCAGTACCTATGGCTACTTTTGACAGTAACTCAGTCTACGGTCAGTAGCTCAGTTTAATGTTAGCAGTAGCTCGGGCTAGAATTGTTCAGCAGGTAGCATTATCGCGACCAACGTTTATATACTTCTGACATTGAAGCGGGTTGAGACATGCTAATTTAAGGGGGTGTGTCTGTGTTATACCAGTGTTTCTCAAACAAAAATGTCTCCAAGGCTATAACAACATTACTAACTATAGGAAAGCAGGCCAGAGATGGCACATTTGCTACATTTGACACCCCAAGCTGCTTTCATACAACAATGAGATAAATGTGGCTTTAAATTCAAGGACACCATTAAATTATGCTTAAAATGTCAAGATAAACTAATTGCAGAGGTTTTTCTAGGCATGGCCAAGCTGTAAAAGATAACATATCTGGCATATTCTTTCTGTACCTTGCAGTATTCAAGTGTGGCAACAAACTCATAAGATCCCAGGGACAGCTCGGGCCTCTCGTAGAAGTCCACCCTCCGACCCATGTGGTCAAGGTGTTGGAAGTAGAAGACTGGGACTTAAATAGGACAATAAAAATAAACATTTTCTCAAACGGGGCATGAAAACAAGACAAACGGGTTTTTATTATGAAGCATGCATTACCTTCATTGACACAGTTGCAGAAACCACACTGGTAACGCCGACCACCATCTATGAACTGCATGTAGGGACACATGTAGGCCTTGCACCGGTTGCAGCGGATCGGGCCGCTCTCTCCATGATTTACAACATACAGGGGAGTCTGGACAAAACCACAAACAGCAAATACAGCTGCTGAAAGCTCTCCCATCAGCAGCACAGGTCTGTTTCATAAAAGAGACGCTAAACAGAATGTAGCAGCCGCTTTATTACAGCTCAACACAGTTTGGGATGTGATTTACCATGTGTCAAACACACTGAATGTTTATACTCTGAACATTAACTGTTGGATGAGTAGTATCAATATGTTTATTCAACCACGTTGTTTATTTAAGGCTTTTAATAAACTAAAAATGCGCTTTGAAAGACTTCAACAACCATAAATCACACACAGAAGAGACAAAAAGGTCTTTTTGAACAGAATAATCAATTGAAATATGGTCAAACTCAGAGTATCTAAAAAGTGTGGGGGGTTCTCATTCTGATGCTCATAAAGTCTGTCCTTCTTCTGTTGTTCCAGCAGATGTAAGATTAGCAAATTAGTTTTAAGCCTGATGAGAAAAACCTAACATTTCCTAAAAAGGAGACTTTCGTGGCTGGGACAGAGCGAGTGGGAAGGGAAAATATCTTAGTCAAGAATCTGGTACCACATTGAATCCAAGAGGAGCTCATCCAGGAGATAAATGACTCATCTGGGGAAACGAGTGTGTTTTGTTTTAAGGGAGAACTAAACAGAAAGCTGGACTGAAACAATCACATAAAAACAATTATCAAAATGACTCCATCCCATTCCGCTCTGCAGCCTTTTATGCTGCCGGGTTTAATAAGTGATGGATACTTATGTGGTTTCTGGCAGAACAAGGGCAAAACACACTGGTGTTATATGACATGCATAAAAAATATGTCACCATTATGTTCAATTATAACCCCCCACCCTCTGTGGTGAGGTGTTTAGCAATATTTTGGACACAACGACTCTCTGAGTGAACATCCAGGTATCCATTGTAGCTCTTTTCTTCTCAGTTTAATTAGTGCCTACGTGTTTTAAACTGTTTGAATATTACAAAATATTTTCTTGACTTGCATCCTAAAAAGGCCCGGCATTTGGCATTTTTATAGCCTAGAAATCTAGACCAACTGTAGTAGTAGCAAAAGATTTTGCTTCACAGGCTGGTCTAGCCACACTCCTGACAGTTTTGTCTTGACAATCATAGCGCTCTGCAATTGTTGAGTGGGCAAAATAACAGATCTGCGACCATAGATAATTATGTCTAGAAAGATGGCGTTGGCACAGGAACGGCGGTCATTTGAAAAGGCTTTGGTATGAATTTTGAATGATTTAGACTTGGGCTTTTCTTTGAGACACGAGCAGACAGAGGTACTTGTTAAGTCCTTTATTTAGAAAAAGGACAGTTTACGGTGGACTGATGCATTGACTGATTTCTGTCACTGTGAATATGTCATTATGTTCATCCCTTGATTGGTACTAACTCTGTCCAACTGCGTACAGAGACACCATAAAAGACTGAGCTCTGCCTATGGGTCATGGCCAGACAATATATGTACATACATGGGACGGTTTGCCAGGCTAGCATTTTTATGGTAACTCTATAAAAGTCACTTATCTCATAATTTGTGTTTAATAATTCTAATCAATGCTTAATTGTACGCTTATGCTGATGGAAATAGGAGCTTGCAGTTCCCTTAAAATGTGAAATTTGGATATTTTAGGCTTTACATAATTATAGAACTTATTGATACAGCCTACATTTCAATCACCAGATTAAATATATATATATATATATACATGCACACACACACACAAACCCAACAGGCCAGTTAGCAATGGTTGGAAAATCAAAACATAGTTCCATGCTTTCGTTCTTTTTTAAACACAGAAACAGTTTTGTTTACCTGTTAGTAGCTACAGTTTCGCCGCCGGCTGCCGGCTTCTTCAGGCTGACGCTGATGGTGGCGCTCCGTTTATCTGCTGCCCGCAGAGAAACGGAGAAGGAAGTGACGCGCCACCATCAGCGTCTGCCTGAAGAAGCCGGCAGCCGGCGGCGAAACTGTAGCTACTAACAGGTAAACAAAACTGTTTCTGTGTTTAAAAAAGAACGAAAGCTTGGATTTAGAAAGACACAGCAAGAACACACCTAAGATGTTCAAAACATAGTTTCCCATTAAAAATATTCAAACAACATCATTTCAGTAGTTTAGTTCACATCTAATGAAGTGATTTAAAAAGAAACCCAGAACTTACTTCATTTTTGGGCAAATTGGCAAACGGTTTGATGATGGAGGCCAGAGGGACTTGGCATTGTTTGGCCAGATCAGCGGTGCAGGGCAGCGAGTAGGTGGTGCAGCGCATAAATCTTGGACTGGCATTCCCTAGAGTTCACAAAAACACCAGTCTCGTTGTAAATGTCTGCTTCATTTCAATAAGTACAACAGTGGCTTTTGCTAGAGATAAGTAAATAACAGGCATTGTTCACTAAACAAATGAGAGAAGGTTATTTTGTTTACCTTGGTCCTGAGCGGTGAAGTCAGTGGTAACGAGAGGTGGGACCTGTCCTCTGGTGTTGGTGTTAAAGAGCTGTCCTCCAAACCTTACTTTGTCATCTTCTATCACTTGGATCTAAAATAGATGTGTCAGGTTAACACTCATGGGCTGAAAACAATCTTGTAACAAATCTAGTCATAAGCTGCTGGTTACAGAAAACATTTAAATAGTGTAAATGAAAAGTTGGAAACAGTGTGTAATTAAACGTGAACTCACTATGCTCGGGATAGAATCAGGGTCCAGTTTCTTCTGAGGAGGTCCAGCCAGTCCTCCTGGTGCTCCAGGGAAGGCTCCTGGCATACCTGGCTGCAGCCCAGACATGGCGCCCCCAAACTGACCTGGACATCAAACACATATACAGACAAAATCCTAAAAGTTACATTAAACAACATGCAAACTTTTCTTAAGTTCTTACCTGCAGGACATGTTCTTTCAAAAAGCCTATGAACACAGCCTGTTTAGGAGTTGTTTCCATCTGGACCATTTAAGATGTGACACACTCTGAGCCTGATCGCTTTAGTTAGCATTCATGATACAAAAGTAGTAATGTTATAGCTGCTTTACCAAATCTGCAAAACCAGATACACGGTCACAGAACTCTCAGGCCCAGTCTCAATAGTCGCACATCCACCCTTACGCCCTTCAAATGTGCGATCCCGACCAGGGATGCGAGTGCGTAGGGTGTCCTGATTCTCAAGTGTGGAAGTTGACCACGCCCCTTTTTCACCCTTGATCCGCGCTTCACCCGAGTCCACAGTGATGCGGACTCAGGTGAAGGGTTTTACCCACAATCCATTGCTGCAGGGGAAATGGCTCAAGTTCCTTTTATGAAACTATGTATTTTCTAATGAAAGTAGCTCATTTTAGGATGGTTAGTTGATGCTCTGAATGGTTTAGACAAAGCAGCAATGAATTTAAATTTATTTCAAATAATTGTTTAGTTGTTTGTTTGAAAGTTGTTAATAAAGGTTTTTGAAAAAAGTACCACAGCGACCAGCATCCCGGCATGCGTTCGATCGATGACGCAATGCTCCCCGTTTCAATTCGGCAATTATTTCCACACGTGTGTACTACACACTCGAAGCCTTACTGCACACTTTCTCCAAGTGCACTTTGCTGAAGACCGCAGGGCGCTGGGTGAGTATTGAGATTGGGCCTCACTCCTCAAGTCACCCATTATCCATAGGCCACGCCCCCTTATATGGGAACCCACATTGCCAGAGGAAACGAGAGCGCCAGTCCTTGTTTTTTTAGGTCCAAATGTCTTTTGTTTTCCGTGACTTCGAATGGTGATTTTCTTTTTGGGACTCTGGTAGTTTGTCCTAAAGTTGAAGTGGTAGCAGCTGGCTGTTTCTCCTTCTCTTATATTATTGAGCCATGAACCTCACACACTGGTGGCGTTCTGTTGCTAAATGCGTGTAATGAGTGGAGGACCCAGGGAAGTGTGGAAGTGTGGTGATTCGTTGACCGACAACCAAATGGTCCAATCGTCGGTTTTAGACTGAGCCGTGTTATTAACTGAGGTTTAAATGTTAAAGAACCACTTCAGTAAAAACATTTTTTATATTCACAAAATATTTTATCTGTATTAGAATGTTGCTAAGAGGCATAAAAAAATTATCTAAGTTAGCTTGTTTTGCAAATGTAGCTTTCCATTTGGATTTACTTGATGATCATCTCTTGCTTTCTTCTGTAACATGATATATTCATGTTAACTGGCACCTGTGAGACATGTTAGCATTCCTAGCCACTGTTAAAATAAGGTGGCTAATTTTATGTCTATCTACTGTTGCCTCATGTTACTATAAACAGCATAGCTGTTAACTGTCACTATAAATATTGCTGCATTGTTTACATGTTCGGATGCTGTTAAGTGTTTCTGTTGATTGAACATTGTTAATACACACAGCTGTACTCTCAGCAACTTCCACTAGTGTTATCATGTTTATGTAGGGCAGATTTGTGACACCATCTAGTGCAAACTGACTAATCTCTGTTCGGTGAAGTTATTGGGCTTAAACGTTCAGCTGCTTTTCTAGGTGCTGATTTTACAGAGAAAATTCTAGAAGTTTTACTTTACAATAACTCACAAGAAAGTAAAAAGACCCTTTGTGACTAATGAACACCTTTTACCTGCTTGCTGTGGGTATGCTGGTGGACCAGTGGGTCCAGGACCAAGCTGCTGGAATCCTCCAGGACTTGGAGGTAGTGGTCCCGGAAAGGGTCTACTCATGCCCGCTATTGGGGGGCTTCCCAATTGCTGTCCCCCCACTGGTGGGCCTCCCATTTGCTGCCCTGCCATTGGTGGGCCTCCCATTGGCTGTCCTCCCATTGCCTGTCCCCCCATTGGTGGGCCTCCCATTTGCTGCCCTGCCATTGGTGGGCCTCCCATTGGCTGTCCTCCCATTGCCTGTCCTCCCATTGGTGGGCCTCCCATTGGCTGTCTTCCCATTGGTGGGTCTCCCATCGACATACTTGCTGCAGGTGATTGTGGTGGAGACATCTGGGGCGGCAATAATGTTGACTGCATTCCTGGAGTCACCTGTTGCGGACTCATTACAGAAGCAGGTGAATGAAAAGGGGTGGCTGCAGGGGCGGAGACCTTCATTGGACCTGGGGCAATGCAAGGAATAAAATGACGTTCTAAAAACTTGTCTCATCAAATAATGTTTCTGTTTCGTAGTATTTTGCAAACAGCAACAATGAAACTAACCATAGTTGCCCAAGTTCATAGAACTCATCTGATTGGTGAGCTGCTGGGCCTCAGGAGGGCTGGGGGAAGCCATATTGTTATGATTTGAGATTGGAGGCTGACTGTATGGAGCAGACACACCTGGTGGAGGGTACCTGGGAAACAAAAAACTGGTTAATTGCATTAGGTTGAATCAGTGTTGTACATCATTGATAAGCATTATTAACAAATGCTTTGCAACAATATTTTAGGATAAGTTTAGCAAAACTCTTCTTGGTTATTCGGTATTTCTAAGACGCATCTCTGTTTAGATAAATCACCTTTGTGTATGAGCTCCGTTCTGCTGGACATTTGCGTTGCACTGACTGGACAAAGGAGGCGGTGCCATCCCAGCAGCAGAGGAACCGGGGGATTTTACCAAACCTGCAACAACCAGCATGTGTGTTGGTGTGACACACATTTACAGCAAAGACTTAAAAAAAGAACAACACATAACTTTTCTTTCCAATAGAAACATTTACACCAACTTAGAGGAACAGCGGGTGGTTGCAGCTTCTGAAGAACTATTATTATTTATTGTTTATGTGACACATGGATACAATTAAGACCAATGAAAGATATAAAAATATAAATAAAAAGCTGTTGTACCTGCAGGCTGAGCATGAACTGCCTGAGGCGGCCCTCCGTAGTGCCCGTAGAACGGTTGGGTGGGAGCAGCTCCAAACCCACCTTGGTAGCCCCCCATCCCTGGTTGGGCCTGGGAGTATGGGGGTGCAGCTGCATAACCCTGTTGGCTCATTCTCGATGGGACGTGTGTCACTGACTACTCATAACAAGCTGGAGATTCCTGACAACCTGCGGAGTAGAAAGGGTCAACTTTAAAGCAGATGTGGAGTTATTGAGAGTGTGGATTTGTCTTTTGTATTTAGCTCTACACACAAACACGCATGAACAGAGCTGCACAAACATTTTAAAAATCCATCATTTAAAACCATTTTTTCCTCCAACCCTTCTTGTAATCATCTACGTCTTGATCAATAGCTTCTCACTTTTGAAGTTTTTCCTTGGGACTTTGGCTACGTTTTCAGTTTCATTGAGTAAATATTTTTTTTAATCTACAACTATAACAGAAAAAAATGTTGGTGTATTACAGGAGGATGGCAAAAACAATAAGATTTCAGCTAATATCTCGTTAGGGATCGCCTTGCTAATAACAGAGCTCCTCACATTTAGGAACGCTAACAAATAAATCAAGATTGTTTTGGTCAATAATGAATTCAAGGCTCATTTTAATAATAACTTTATTATTAACATATTTATAACCGTTTTGAGTGAAAGATTAACTGTAAACCCTGGCTAATAACCTTTATTCATTTGTTTTCATTTTATTTAGATTTCTTGACTTTTAATTATGTTTTAATATTAATGAGAGTGTCTTTTGGGATTTATTTTCCCCCCAATAAGTGCTATATATAAAAAATTAAAACTTTACGTACTATCCTTATGTTGCTGTTTCAGCAAAAAAAATAAAATTAAAAGAACAGAAACAGGCTGCTGGTAACTAATCACTCAAGCATCTGTTTAGACAAGACATTAGTTCATAACTCAATCCCAGGTGCCTTTTTATGTCTGAATGATTAACAGGTCAGAGTTAAATTGCTTAAACAAACAGGAAGTGAGCTAATTAAAACCCCCAGAATAATTTAAATCCCCAGTAAGCCTAAAACTGTCCATCAAAAACACTTTACAACCTTTAAAAAAAGTCACTGCCAGCAAATTGTAAAAAAAAAAAAAAAAAAAAAAAAAAAAAAGGAAATAAACAGACTTTTGCTCTGTACATGTGTCTGCACCAACATCAACTGATGTTTGACCTCATTCAGCTATCAACACAGTGTAACAGACCTTTGACATCTCGCATCAAGAGATAAAAACAGACCATCTCCGGTTAGATACTTTAAAGTTGCTTACATCAGATGTGCTTCAGCTGTTTTAAAACGATATAATAATAATAATAATAATAATAATAATAATAATAATAATAATAATAATAATAATAATAATTTTGCAACATAATTGCATATTACGTAAAATATAAAACTGTGTAACTGTCCTTTTTTTTTTTTTTTACTAAATTATTTTGGAACAAAGTAAATATGAGTTTAATCATACAGCTGGATGATTAAGCACCAGCTGCATAATACAAATTTTATACAAGTTCTCGTTATTTTAAGGATAATTACGCATTTTAAACGTATGCCACACTCCCACGTAATTTAAAAAAATAACGTTTGAGGTAAACGAGCTCTTTCTGAGAACTGCCACGTCAAAGATCGTTAGGATGGAAAAAATGAGGGGAAAATGACAACAGCTACGTTTCATTCATTTATATCCAGCACCACCACTAGTTTGTCTCCGATTTAAAACCATCTGCTAACGTTATTGATTAAAATTACTTACATGATGAAAACAGCTTGCTAGCTGCGTGCGTGGACAATACTACAAACTTTTCCGCTACAATTCCGATGGCTACAAAGCAGAAACGTTTCCAAGCCATATACCCGAGTAAAAAAGTTAGCTGAGGAAGATATTACTGCCATTTGTTTGTTGGTGTTATTTACCTGAATAGTGGGCAGAGTCCTCTTTACCGTCTGTAACCCTCAGTGGAAACGAGAGTGCCACGTCAAACTCCACCGGAGCACCGGTCTCTGTTGGTGTGGCAACGAAAAATCCTCACCGTTCACCAAACTGTACACGGAAGTAATGTTTCCTTTTAGCCTTTCAAAACAAAACTTCTTAAGCATTTGAAAGGACATACATGACACAAACACAAGTCTATTATCTTCTATCAATGCTCATTAATAACAATGTATATTTCTATAACTTAAAAGAAATATTTTGGTATTTTACACACAAATATTTGATTTGAAACGGGACATTGCATTTTAGGGTGAAACGTTCAATGTTGTACTTCCGTTTTTGGTAAGCCGCTTGACAAGTGGAGCGGACCAATGTGTTACCGGTGCGCATGCGCGATATAGAGGAAATCCATACACGTCAGCATCATAAAGCAGTTTCATCCTTGCATATTACTCTTTATTCACTAAAAAACATAGACATCCTAATCAGGTAATGTCATAATACAGTCTCACATAATGTAAACTACGAATTAACCATAGAGTGTATTTATGCTGTTCATTTAAGCAACAAGAAGCGTAAACCGTAAGAAAATTATTAAATCTTCAAGGTAACGTTATTTAGTGTTCTTTTAACAGATGCGACGTTCTTATTTTGCCTTTCTTGAACATAAAATGATCCTGTGGCTTTTTACTTCAAGGGAATTTATTTTTTATTAGAACAGAATACAGAAACTGAAACACAGTAAGAGGGGAAAAATTATCTTTGTCCAGTTCTCTTCCATTGATAAACAACTGAGCGTATGTTTTTCATTAAGCTGCTTTGATTGTTATGCAGCTGCTTATTGGTGTCTTAACAAAACCACCAGCGTATAAAAAACATCGTAAAAAACCCACCGGTTGCGCTTATTGCACCGCCTACGGGCGGTTCCATGCGTAGTGACGCAATGAAACGTGGATTAAACTCACGCTGGGAGCCCAGATGATGTGAGGATCACCCAGTGGTGCTGTGGAGGAGGTGGACGCTGTGCAGGGCTGCTGGACTGGCTCACAGCTCTGTGGATGTTTGGCTGAGGAGCTGCAGGCACCATGGGCACCGGAGACTACATCTGCGTCACCCTGCACGGCGGTGCGCCCTGGGGCTTCACCTTAAAGGAGGGAGAAGGGGACACTTATAGACCTCTCCTTGTTTCCCAGGTACATGTTTATCTTTTCATAACTTTATTGCTGTAGATTGTGTGAGTTTGTTAATTAAATTTAACTTTTTGGGACAGATTTTCCACACCGCAACGCATGGATTGTGTCATTGTGTTGAACTTTGAATTCCATTTGAGTTGAGAAATCCAGCTGAAACCAAGGAACTTTTCGAAGATTGAGCTCTTTGTGTGTCTGGCTGCATGCATGTGTGCCTTGGCTGTGTTTTGGTGAGAGATTCCTCAGCACCCTTATATGGTCAAGGCAACAGACAGAAAGTGAGGGCAGTGCGATCTTTCATCGCTTTCACGACTTCAGCAAGAAAACAAAGCATGATTCAGATCTAACCTGTGGAGGCCGTCTGTGTGCAGATGCAGAGGCGTCGAAGTAAAGTCAAAATTTAAACTCCGATAAGGAAGGAATGCGGGATCTTAAGGAGGATGATTCATAACATTTGTTTTTTTTTACTTCCATGCCCAATATACTTTGCTCAGTTTTCTCAGGTCTTGATCTGCAGAAAAAGCTGCCCTTTGCAAGAAAAGGTCATGCTGGTTATTGTAGGAGTTTCTTAAAGGTTCATTTAAGTGTATAGGGGATGCGCCTCAGATCATATCATTATCAATGTGTTGTGTATCACCAAGGTCTTTGTTTAAACCATCCAATATGCAAAGCATTATCCAGTCTAGTCAATGCAGGCCACACAGAGATGTGTCATGCTTGCAGATTGGAGAGCCGTGAGTGAGGGAAACATGACTGTACCACAAATTATTATAATGAAATGAATTTTGATAAATATTTTTAATTGCATTCCCTTATGATCAGATTATGCAATGTGAGCAACTCCCAGTAAATACCAAGACAAGAATTTACTCTTTGATCTGTAAGACTGACTCAGTTGTGGACCTTTTTTGGATTTGCTAGGGCTGATTAACTTCAGTGACCATCTAGTATCGGTTGTAATTATTTTGCTCTGAGAGTTTCAGGAAAATCTCACCAGTGTGGCATTTTTTTCCAGCTAAGTATAATTACTTACATTTGAGTACTTGCTCATAATGGAGACCAATATGAGCACTAATAAATGCACTTTTACATTTGAAATACCTTCATATAACATTTGTAGCCACCATTGAGTGTAACCATATCAGGTGATTTTATTTATCAAATTTAAGCTAATCTTATTCATCCAATCAATTATTATTATTAGTGATGCACCTACATGAAAGTTTTGGGCCGATACGATATCCAATATTAATATCACAGTTGTGGCCGATAACTGATATTTGCTGATACTGATATACTGACATAGTGATTTTAAAATCAGCAGATTTTGTATAGAATGAAAATGATTAAAGTTGAATTTACATTATTATATACACACACACACATTTATGCTTCTGAGATGATTACAACCACTGTCACATGACTAAATAACAACCCCCCCCCCCCCCCCCCCGAAACAGATGAAAGAAATGGAAACAAGAAGAAAAAATATAGGTTTTTAATATCGGCCCAGTTTTATTTATGGATCGATACTGATATGTTAAAATATTGACTGACATCGGCCGATACCGATATTGATGCCGATATATCATACATCCCTAATGATCAGTTATTAGCAATGTCCCGTGATCTGTCTCCATCTCTGATTGGCAATTGTCACCCATCGGGGCATTAAAAACAGAAAAAATATGCTCTTTGAAGGAAAACTGAAATAGTAAACCTTGTGTATAACACACTTACACCAGATTTTAGTTTTTCTTCAATAATCTTTATAAGCGTGATGCAGTTGTCCTTTTGTTACTGGACTTGACTGCTGCCTATGATAGGTAATGACATTCTGTTGGATCATTTACATAATCGGGTGGGTACTACAGAGGTGGCTCTCCAATGGCTAAGATCCCATCTTGAAGACAGGAGGTTCTGTGTGTGGATGGTTTAAGCTTCTTCAGCTTGGGAAAGACTCGGACTGGGGGACCCTCAAGGTCCCTTTCTGTTTACACGCTACCTCTTGTCCCTGGGGGTCCTCCTTGAACGTCATGTGGAAAGTTCCATTTCTATGCAGATGACTGCCTGATCTATTTGTCCCTCTCTCAGGGGGGAAGGGGGCTGTGTCTGCATTATTGAACTGTTTAGTTGAAGTTAAGTCATGGATGGCCTCTAATTTCCTCTTCCCAAATGAGTCCAAAACTGAGGTCATAATACTCAGCCCTGCATGGTGAAAGAGCTGGAGCTAGTGGCGAGATTGTCTTGCTTCCTTTGCCCAGCACGAGAAGAATGTGGTCACTAATTTAGGGGGTGAAAATTGATGAGGCCCTTAAATTTGATGCACAAATAAACATGGTTGTACAGGCATGCTTTTTAAATTTGAGACATTTATCCAAGATAAAGCCTCCCTTGTCAAGAGCCCATTTGGAAACAGTGGTACTATGCTTTTATCATGTTGACTACATAATACATTGTATGCTGGACTGAGTCAGGCTGCAACTGCACGGCTCCAACTTGTTCAAAACTTTGCTGCCAGATTTCTGACCTAGAAGGAGGGACCACATTGTCCCAGTGCTAGCTTCTCTGCACTGGCTCCCGGTGTATTATCGGCAAGATTTATGATCCTCCTAAGTGCAAGGGCATTGCACAGTGCTCCCCCCATGTGTGGCTGCATAGTTACACAGGTGTGTCCCCTCTTGGGCTCTTCACTCTGCTGGGCAGGAGCTGCCGGAAGTCCCACGCTCTGAACTGAGATCAAGTGGGGACCAGGCCTTCTCGGTAATGGCTCCAACCCGTTGGAACAAGCTCGCTCGGGCAGTAAGCTCCAACTCTACAGGTTTTTAAAGTCTCGTTTGAAAACCCATTTTTACTTGTTAGCTTCCCCTCAACACATTTGACACTGGCTTTCGTATTTTTACCATTTGTTTTGCATTGCATTACTTTTGTTTTGCATTGCATTACTTTAGTTAAAGTCGTAGAGGGTGCTATACAAATAAATTTGATTGCTTAATTTGAAGTTAAAACATTACAAATCTACACACCTTTTACACACAATTTTTAAATACAAGATTTGACATGAAGCATGACTCCATAGCTGAATTAGATTTGATTGTGGTGACCAGCTGTCATTGGATTGTAGCGTATTGGAACTTCCTGTTAAATTGCTTGATACATTCATTGTTCTAATATGCACTCGTGCTCATACAGTAAATGTAACAACATTTTCATTGGAACGTTTTTGTGTGCTGTGGCATTGTTAATTGGTGTTTTAGCTGGAAACCCTTGACTATCTGGCAACACTACTACTATTGCTCATGAGATGTTTTGCTAGCAGATAACCAAGGTCAACTCCAACAGTAAATGCAAAAAGATTTAAATAAAGATCTCACCCACTTCATTAGCATGAGTTATGGATTAGCTAAGCATTAGCCATAGGGCTGCAACAACGAATCGATGAATTCGATGAAAATCGATTACTAAAAGCGTTGGCAACGAATTGCGTCATCGATTCGTTGTGTCGCACAACTCTTCCAAAAGCGCCCCCCCCCCCCCCCCCCCCCCCCCCTTCCCGCCCACCGTTGCGCGCAGACCAGAGCAAGTCAGATCAGCGCGAGGGAGAGCCGCAGATCAGCGCGAGGGAGAGCCGCAGATCAGCGCGAGGGAGAGCCGGTACAGGCAGATCAGCGCGAGGGAGAGCCTGCAGACTTGCGCTGCTGCGAACCGGTTCCGCATTGTTGCACAGCGATCCAGGCAGCTGCTTCCAGAGCACGGTCCATTCTCAAAGTGGCGCAACCAAAAAACTATAATTAGCACACGATCGTTCTTGTCTGCACATGTTCTCTATTTTCTGTCTTATTTGTGCCTGAAGCGCTCTGCTGCGGAGCTCATCACCTGTGCTGTGGTGATTTCACCTCACGCAGCATCGAAAACGCGCTCTCCGCTTTGCGGTCAGGAGCAGTGGCGGTTCTACATCGAATTACTCCCCGGGCGAGGCCCCCTTTGAGCGCCCCCCCCCCCCCAACCCCCCCCACCACCACCACCACCACCACCACCACCACCACCACCACCCCACCTGCATGAACACACGCATGTTTTCTACAAACAGGCATGTTTTATTAGAACGACTATTGAACATTCATTTTTCTAAGGTGCACATATTTACATTAATTACTATGAAGTTGTCAGAATGTAAAGCAATATACATTATATACTGTATCAAAATATATAGAATCAAATATACAAAAACAAACAATAACTAAATATTAAGAATATATGAACATAATAGATAATAAATATTCTAAATAGCAAAAATATTTCACACGTAACAAACTAAAGATAATCACTACAGCATTGCACTTAGAATAGAAAACACAAACTAAAATTAAAACCTAACCTTGATGCAAAGTCATCAATAATGTCATCATATGAAATCTGCTCCCCTACTGAGTGATTGATACTAATCAGAGCCAGGTGAGTGAGCCGCCCCTGAAACATAGGTGACCTCAGGTATGACTTGATCAAGTTTTGAAAAGCTCCTCTCAGCTTGAGCCACAGTGACTGACAGAGCAGTCCAAAAGTTGGGGTAGATCTCCAATAGATCTTTATCATGATCCATAATATTTTAGAATTGCCTCTGAAATTGTAATTTAAACTGACATAAAAAACTGTAGACTACCAAAAATGCCAACTTTTACAGAACAAATCATGTAAAAAAAATAATCAGTGCAGCCATCTGCAATAAATAAACAGGATAGTTAGTGGTGACTGGGGTGTTTTCTTCTGCTTGTAGAGTTGTTTTATTTATTATTATGTGAACATGATCAACATGTGTTTGTTGTTGTTCAGGCAGGCCACAGGCTGCAGCGAGCATTTAACAAATCCTAGTTTGAATCAGTAAAAAACGATTCGAGGACTTTTTTCAAACCATTTGAATATTCGTTTAAATATTTCAGCCCTATTAGCTCTGTTAGCAATTAGTTGACCGCATTTAACCGTTAAAATCCCAGTTAACTGGTTCA